TATATATTTAACAGACATATATGTATTATTGGACAAAGATGTAATTAAGAAAATGATGTGACTTTTAAATGGTATTTTTTGTGCATAAATTTGTACAGTATAAATAAGCAGAATAATGAAAGAAAGATAAATATAATACAAATTATGAAATCATCTCAAGAATGCCACAAATGAATAAAATAGGATAACGAATATCAAGAAAGAAATAGAACAAAAATTAGCAACAATCAACATTATCTCTAAAGTATTAAAAATATTTTTTCAAATAGGATAAGCAGATTAAGAATTAAAAATTAGCGACATCTTCTGAAAACTTTTAGAACTTATTCTGATTTGAAGAGATAGCATTCAAGAGATGGCATTGATCAATTTTTACTGTATTTTTATCCTTCTGTTATTATTTGCTCTTCTTACTTATGTTAGTTTCATTTGCGGCAATCTGGAAATGATATTGAACCCCATATACTTATCCTATATCTTTTTCTAACTATTTGCTTTTTTTATCTATTTATTCTAATTTTATGCGCTCAAAAGATGATATTGATTTCTGATTAACATTTTTATATTAATTCAACATATGGATTAAAAATCTTAATAAAAATCTTTTTCATTCAAACTTTATATGTCATAAAAATATATATTTTATATATGAAAATTTTTCCATATTTTTTCAATTTTGATGCAAAATTTTTGTTCAAATTTCAATTTTATATTATAAGTATATAATTGAACAGATGGCACAATTTTTTATAATTCTTCTATTTCCAAATAGAATTTTTATTAAATTTTTCATTTTTTGTTAAATTTTATTATGATTTATTTCAAATTTTTTAGACTTATTTAATTTTTATGTTAAGTTTTTTTTTATCTCTTTCTTGTTTTTGTTTCTTTCGATATATTTAATGACAAAAATTAAGAAACAAACTAATTCTTTATGAATTTCTTTATTTTTTTATTCTTTGAGATGAATATGTCGAAATTAAAATTAACATAAAAAAATTATAATATATGTATATACATCAATAAATAATAATTTTTTTCAAATATGTTTGTATAAAGATTAAGTAAAAATAGAAAATATAAATAAATTTATAAATGATTAATTTGTTTCTTTGTCAGTAAATATATTTCTGTGATTTGAACTAATGACCAACATCATCTGTGTGTAAATATATTAGCCTGTCGGTAAAATCATTATATATCTATATTCCACCCTTTATTTCTATTTATATGTTTACCACTACAGCTGATCGAAACCCATATAAACTGTTAGACTAACATGCAAATATTGTAAGATAGTTATATACAGATATTTATTATCTGTGCAAAATGTACAGAAATTATCACAGGAATACAAAATGATTGATAATTAATAAAAAGTGAATAGAGACAATTAGAAGAAATTTCCATTTTTTTGTAATGTCAAAAAAGTTATCATGCTTCCAATATGTTATTTTTCTAGACGATATTTTATGATTCTACAATTTCACGTCCTTTTAATTTTATTATTTTTTCCAGGTAAATTTATACATATAATATATAGGTATATATTTTCTAAATATTTCTTTTCATCTTTTAAATTTAACTTTTTTTTGTAAATTTATAATTTATATTATTTTAAGAGTTATATTTTAAAATGATTTTATATTTCCTTTTTTTTGTTAAAAATTATATATATAATTATATATCTAAATATTCAATTAAGTATTAGAAATTATTATATTTATATATTATATTTATATATTTATATATTATATATAATTTTATACAAATAAATTTGTTTAATTTAATATACAAATAAAATTATATTTATAGTTAAAGAATGTATTATGCCAGAAGCAAGTCAAGAAGGATTACTACATTCTTTTAAAAGTTATTCAGATGTAGTTATGTTTCATTACACAGTTCCAAAAGAGGTACTCAGAGCTACTTGGCAATTTGCAGCATTTATGGATGGTCAAGATTGCTTAGAAAGAAATGTACATATGTAAATATTTTTTTATTTTTACTTTCATGAATACATACATAAGAGATATAATATGATATTTATTCTAATATTGTAATTTTTAGATACTTGCAATGGGGTAGTTACCCTGTGATATTTATAAATAATGATACATTTCCTAGTAATATGTATCCCAAGCGTAATCATACTATTATAGTTTCTACAATTACAACATTTGAACCAAAAACAACTGCAATTGTTCCAGTTTATGGGCCAGAAGCTGGTGATTGGTTTGTAGGAGCATATTTATCTCATTGGGATGAAAAGGTTCAACAGCAGGTTTGATATTTATTTTTATTATACTTTGATATTTATTTTTCCTTCAATGTAAGATTATTTTATATTAATTCTGCAATTTTTTATATTTTAGGGACTTGGTCATAAATGTCATTATAGTATAGGTTCGGTAGCTATATGGACACAAATTAATAGTATTGAAAATATTCCTATTGGTTATCAACAAACTTTAAGAACAAAAGAAACTACTTCTTACTATAAGTAAAGAGTATAATTTCTCTATACAGTTCATACAAAAATTTGAAAATGATTAATATATTCGATTTTTATCTAGGATATATATCCCATCAGGAACATGGAATTTTCGCTTAGATATTTGGGGTTGTAATTTTACTGTGCTTAAATTTCATAATATACATGAACCTTGTATAAAAAATATGGTTCTACAAGGACGTTCTTTGCCTGTTTTTAATCATTCTCAACCAATTAAAAATAGAAATTTAACTATGTTAGATTCATATACTTTTACAGAATCTTCTCCTTATGAAGATAGTTATTATTATTTGATGATTGTTTCAGATAGCATTATTGAAGTAAATGTCAAAGTAGTCACTTTTGGTAACTTTATTATCTTTATCTTTAATTATATTTATTTTAATTTATATGAAATTTATATATTTTTTTCATTGTATTTCATTTTACAGAATGTCCAATCAGAATAACAGAAAAATCTTTTGTAAGACAATATTTAGATGCGCCTTCATTTTCTAAAGCATTAGCTCAATTGCATATGAAAGATTTAATAAATCATTTACATTATAATGAGAATAAAAGCAATGGATCATTTTATAATGGAAATAACTTTATGAAAAATCAATTTCATGTGTTAGATGAAAATTTTGATGATTCATGTGTTCCAAGATATCAACTTGTTAGAATTAAACATTCACAAACATTTTCAGGATCCTATCTATTACAAGTATTAAATTTATAATAAATATAAATATAAAATATAACTAATAATAAATATAAGAAATATATTAATTATATGCATATAAAATGATTTTAAGGGTAGAGAATGGTTAACTTCATGGGTGATGTTAACTGATATACATCCAGTAATTACACAATTTAATATTTTACCATTAATTGATATTGGTGGCACACTTGATATAAGTGCTCGTTTGGAAATGGACAAAGTAAGCTAATAATAAAAGCTTTTCACTATAATTTTTTATATCATTTAATTTATTATATGTTTTTTAGATAATAACAAAGCAGTTAGTAAAAGTTATACTTTGTATTCGGCGTGGACGCATTCCAAATAGAATTAAGAATAATATTATATGTGAGAATTCAAGAATGTCAATGATCTTATCTTCATTTGATAAACATAATGAAAGTTTATTGATTCCATATCCACAACCAGATACTTGGTATGTTACTTTAGATGCAACATGTTATTTTAATGGGTAAGATTATGTTGTTATATTATTTATTAAATATTAAAAATACATTAGATACATATATATTTAATAAAAATAAATTTTATATATACAATTTATTTTTATTTATAATAATAAAATAAAATAATGTTATTAATTAAATAGAAAACCAGTAAATTGTGAAATGGAAGAAATTTTAGTATCATTAGATATAAGGACTAGACAATGTGTATTTCCTGGAAATTATCCATGTGGTCACCATGGAACCTGTCAAGAAATTCATCGTGATATTCTTTATTATACAACGTGTAAATGCTTTGAAGGTTTAATTATTATTTAACATATTTAATATTATAATTTATGTAATTATTATTTAAATATATATAATGCTATATATTACATAGGATATAAAGGATGGGGTTGCACTGATGGTACTAGTGCTAATTCTGAATCTTCTGTTCTCATAACAACATTGATGCTTACTTTAAGTAATGGTTTTTTTATACCTGCTATATATTTAGCTGTTAAACGTGGATTGTATACCGAAGGATTAGTATATTTAGCAACTATGTTTTTTTCCTCTATGTATCATGCTTGTGATCAACATGTTATGACTTATTGCATTGCAAAGTATGAAGTACGTAAATTATTTTATAAAACAATTTTAAAAATTGTTTCATATGTTTATTTTGCAATTATATAAAATAAAATAATATTTTTATAAAATGATTTAAAAATTTATATTATTTATAATATAATTAAATATTAAAGATTTTTGTTAAATTTATTTTAGGTTTTACAATACAGTGATTTTTTTTCAAGTATATTAGCATTTTGGGTAACACTTATTGCAATGGCTGAATTACCGATTCATTTTATATCTGTATGTCATATGTTTGGAGTTTTCATTATAGCTTTTGGTGTTCAATCCAATAAGACAAGTCTTATTAGTATATTAATACCTTTAGGAATGGGTATTATGATTCCAGTAAGTAATTTAAAAGAATATTTATAATAATATGATTCTTTTTTTTTTCGAATATATATATATTTTTTTTTTTCAGATGGGGACATATGTTTATCGATGTTTTCACTTTAAAAAGTGGAAAAAACCTATTAGAACTTCAAAATTATTAGCTGGTTTAACACTTGCAATTATAGGTTTATTGCTCTTTTCTTTAGTTGAAACAGAATCCAATTATCAGGTATACAACAATATAAATTATAAAATGTTAAAGAATAATTTATAATATTATATAAATTACTAATATTTGTTTTTTAGTATGTCCATAGTGCATGGCATGTGATAATAGCCATCTCATTGATATTTCTTTTACCTCCATCGCGATTAGAACAAATTGATTCTTCAGCTACCAGCTATGATAGTGAATTACTTGATTATAAGGATCCATCAAGTAGTCCAATTTTTACAATAACAAATGGTCAGGAACATTTAGTAATTGCATCAAATTGAAAATTACAATAAGAATTAGTAAGACAAACAAACCAAATACATACTGTTATTTAAGTTATTTGTGCCAAAATAGTGTTCTACTTCTCTAAGCGAAAAGAAGATTAAAAAAGATATAATATATATTATAGTCTATATAATATAATATAATATAATATATTATAATAATCAAAGTTGAAATTATTATAATAATATTATAATATATAGTATATTATAATCAAAAATGAATGTATATATACAAGTATCATATATACATATACATAAAATATTATGTATAAATTTTATAGTTCCTAAAATAAGGATGTATAAGAAATTATAGGGTAATCTATGTTAGATTATATAATTCAATATAACATATAACTGTTTTGATTGTAAAAACTGAACGAACTTATAAATGGTGCTATTTTATTAATATTATGTTATTTTTAGAATATAATAAATAATTCTAATAAAATTATTTTTATATATTTTTATTGTTGAAAATTATATTATATAATATTGAATATACCAGGAAAGTAAAATAACATATATTTTTTCTAGAATGTTATCATTAAATATACCATTTAAAAATCGATGACGATTTACTGAATTTATTATATTAATATTAAAATTAATATTTGCATCTTATATGTATATTTTATAGTTTTTTTTTTAATATAATAGAAGAGAAATTTATTACAAATTTATTACATTATCAATACAGTTATAATATTTTCATAATAATAATATTTTCATAATAATTGGAAGTACTTAATATATCATTTTCTTCATTTTTTAAAATAATTTATTTCTTTTAAAATTACTTTTTGTATAACTCATATATTTTATATTTATCTCATATATCTAATAGTATATAAAAAGTATATTAATTGCATAGATTACCCTATATATATTCCTATTGATAAATATAAAAATATTTATTAATTATATTTTATTTCTTATTTTTTAAAAATATATTTTGTTATATAAATAATATATATTATGTGTGTGTTCTGTATAACTAGTATAACTAGTATAACTTTGGGAAATATGAAAATATAATACATTATATCTTAATAATATAGAGATACATATTATATGTTAAATATTATTACATCTATTTTTTACATTTAGTCGTCTAAGGGACCACAGAATGTAATAAAAGATATTAATAACATATTAGAAAATGAAAGTATGAATATTGTGCCTAAATATAGGTAAATTATTCGGAAATAATATTCAAAAGTTAAACATCTTAGAATTTGCAAATTTTATAATTTTTTAATATATAAATCTTTGTATATAAGATATAAAAACATTCATTTTAATTATTTTAAACAAATATTATTTGATTTCCTATTATTAAAAAAAACTTTTAAATAAAAAGTAAAATGTAATAAAAAAATCATCAATTGCTATAGATATTATATGAACATTAAGTAATTGTTAAAAATTCTCAAAGTTAATTAGTTTTAATACAGAAGATTCACTCACAATTTTTAAAAATAAATTAAAATATTATATATATAAGTTTTACAATATTTTAATTTCATTATAATAAATTTCATTTTTTTATTTTATATGATATGCAATATTTTATTTACAAAAGTTTTTTTTTTTTAATTTAATAGAGTATAATTTATTATTATTATTAATTATAATTAATATTTCAAACTTTAAATATATTTATATGATTTCATTTTGATATGGTAAATCATTAAGATAAAATATTTATTTTACTATTCAAATACCTCATAATATGTAAAGTGCCATCTAAGATTTCTCTTTCATCCTATGCCTTATATTATAAATCTTATTTTTACACTATTAAAAAAGGCAGGATGATTGATAAAAAAAAATTCATACAATGTAAATCTTTAAGGGAATTATATATGGTATATTATTTTAAAATAAAGGAAGATTTTAAATATTAAGATAAACAAAAAAAAATGTAGAATGGCCGTTAATCTTAAGGAGAATCATAATCTTGAAAGTATATTATCAATGTGAATTGATAATGTATTGTAAGTCTGTCATAAATTCAGAACAAATATAAATAATATAATATTTCATACAAATAAAATATAAGCAAATAAATATTTCATATTATATTGAATGAGTTAATTAACATATCAAATAAACTTTTTAATATTTACTGCATATTATGTAAAATTTTATATAATAACATAATGAATATAATATCATGTCCAAAAATATTATTATTTTATTATTATTTTCATAATAATGTAATAATTTAATCATAAAAAAAATTATTTTGATTCTTATACAAAATTTTTATAAACAATTTTTATTATTTCATTTATATCTTTTATTGTAATCTTAAAAAATTTCATTAGTATATTGTATTTGTATTGTAAATGTTAAACATCTTTTGTCTCTTGTCAATTACATTTAATACATGTTCATATTGTTGCAAAACACACCTGAAACCATGCATGATACGTCCTCTTTAGAGATATAAATATAGATAAATTCAAATAAAAAAGATGTTTAGCAGAAGTGAATAAAATATTTAAAAAAAAAATTTATCATTTAAATAAATCTGAATAATTTATATCTTCTTACTAACTTTTCAACATTACAATCTCCTATCCAATCTAATGCATTTATAATTATAGAATATTGATTTTTTAAGTATTGTGAAATGCATAACAAATTCACATCATTATTTATCTTTTTTTTTGATTGACGAATTACATTAATGTAACAATGTTCGATTTCATTACTAAATATTTTCCATATCTAAAAATTTTTTATTATAAATAATTTTTTCTAATTATTTAAAGATATATGTGAATTATACCTGTATCCATTTATTTTGTAATATCTCTTGTAAACTTTTTTTTTTTTAAATTTTTGTAAAGCGTAAATTGCTTCGATTCCTTCTTCTATATTTTTTACATTTTTAAATATATTATTAATCAAATTAATTACCATATTTTCTAATTGTAAAATTGTATATCTAAATTGTTTCATTTTATTAAGCCATACAGGTTTTATAATAGTAAAAATGATATTGCGAGCTGTTATAATTTCATCTAAACTTTCGTAAAACAAAAATTCTATTTGTCGCCAGTATGCTTCATAATCGACTCCTTTTGGACCTCCTATTAATCTTATTTTACCATCTCTATAAAATATATAAAAATTACAATTAAATCTGTTTTATTTATTTATTTTTTTTCTTTTACTTTACCTTCCAAATATTGTTAATGCTTCACATATTTCAATGATATCATAGCATCTTTGTTGAAAAATATCAATTTTATTAAAAACTTCTTTTCGATTTATATTCCATTTTTTATTAGAATTAGTATAAGACGTAATGTTCGTCATAATCTACAATAAATTTTAACAAATTACTAATGTAACTGATATACGTGATATATAACAATAATACATAATGATTATTAATATGAAGAATATTATTTGGTAAATTATTTACATACGTGATCATAAATTGTTTTATAAATATTGCAACAAAATATACACTTTTTCAACATCTCTATTCCTATTTTAGGATCATCTCTAAAAGCAATATCTAAATTAATATAGTTTATACATTGTTCCATTATTTGTGAACTTAATGCTTGACATAATATTTCCATATTATTCCTAAAAATATTATGATTTTAAACATATTTATTTCATTATTTTTTTAATCGATTATATATTCTTACTTATTAGAATAAAATGGCGATTCTGTCCAAACAAATAATATAAGAAGCAATATTTCTGTCACAGAATTTTCAATATTATCTGGAATTTGTAAATTTTTACAAAAATTAAATACAATATTCAAATAATTAAATTTGATGACGCCTCTTCAAATTTTGTATCAGTATACATAATTAATTCTTCTAATTTAAATGCACTTGGAGAACGCAAATTTTTTAATATATCAATAATTAATTGAACTTCTATGTTAAGAAATTGAGTACGTAAAAGGTTTAAATTTGAACCTATAAAGAATATATTTTTTATAATTTTAAAACATGAAATCAAAATAAATATAATTTGAAATAAATATTTTTATAATAATTGAAATAAAAAAATAATAAATGAAAATAAAAAATTAAAATAACTAATGAGAAACTAACGTTTTGCATTCCAATAATCAACTTCATCTTGTAAATTTTTAATTTTTCTCCATTTCAATGTTATTGTTGCTCTATGCATTTGTCCAATCCAAAACCAAACTATTTTATCTAGTCTTTCAATTAATTTTCGTTTTTTTTCATCTTCTTCCGAAAAGATTGATGTTTGATTTGTATACAACGAAATATAATCATTTTTATTCGAAGATTTTAAAAGAGTTTGAAGAAGACGTTCTTTTGGTACATATAAAATAGTCAGACCCATTGGTTTATAAATTTCATCCATTAAACGTGAAATAAATTCATGTAAATTTAAAAACACATCATGTCTTAAAACTATTCATTATGGAAAATTTTAATTTCAATAGATTATTTTTTCTTTAAAGATAATAAATTGAAAATAAAATAATAAGCTTTAATGAAAAGGAAAAAATATATATAAAAGAATTCGAAAATAATATATATAAAAAATAATTCAAGAAATGAAGAATTTTATTATAATTAAATAATTTTTTTAATTATGATATTCTAAATTTATCTTTGGATACATGATGCGTAATCTTCACTGTGAAGCACAATCGGTGCATATATATTTTCCATAAATTTTAAAATATTATTTTTTATGTTTTTGTTAATATTACCAAATAAAATGGTCTTTAAAAAATTTTCTGGAGTATAAATTTGCCATGGTGATCTTAAGAAATATGTAAATCCCATAGATACATGTATCGGAATATTTAACATGGCATTTAATTCATTTTTATCATAAAATGTAGTTAGCATTATATGTGATGGATCTTTAAAATATTCTCTAATTATTTCATCCGATTGTTTGTTCCAACTTATATTATTACAAGAACATATTGTTAAATTTTTTACATATTTCACCTAAAAATATGTTCAAGTATATTATTAAATTATATTAAATCATTTCAGCAGACCGTTTATTATTATAAGTGAAATAGTATTAGTAAAAATAGATCGTATGAATAGTACTATTCTTATTACATTACGTCATTCATATGATTAGAGAATCTTAAAACGCCGATAGAGGTCATTACGATAAAATTATTTTTACTAAAATTATATTTGTAAAAAATCACATATTTCATATCTATAGATAAATTTATTTTACAATATATTATCTATAGAAAAATAAATATATGTTATAATATATTATCTTATTAATGCACATTAATGATTCATATTTATATGCGTATTAGTATATATAATTTGAAATATCAATTTGAATTGAAAAATTATTGATTTATAATTATATTCTTACTAATTCAATTAGATCTTCTTCAGAAAGTTTTGGTTTCTCAGGTTCTGAAGAAAGTTCTTCTTCAACTTCAGGTATTTCTAGAATATCATTAATATTATCATAATATCATAAATATTAAAAATTATTATTTCAATTATAAAAAATTAAAATTAATTAATATTATTAATAAAATTATCAGTTAAAAATATTTAAATTTAAAGTTTATTACATATATCAAATTTTAAATAATAAATAATTTTTTATAATATAAAGATGAAATTTCAAAATTTATTATTAATATTTATATATATTTAATTATTTTACCTTGGTGCCCAAAATTTTCTTCATCTGTATCCATATCTAAAAATTCTCGATGATTATCTATCATTTTATCCGATTTCCGTAATATTTCAGATTTTTGTTCTTTTTTTACGCTCATTTTCTATAATATATGAAGATAAATAAATGAATAAAAAAATAATATAATAATAAAAAAATGAATATAATATTAAGTAAATAGTAATATAATTTGAATATAAAGATTCGTGTATCTTTTCGGCACAATACTGATTTTACTTTTTTGTTAAATCGATATGTTTCATATTATTATAAGTGATATATAAAAAATATAAATTAAAAATCCGCCATGAAGAAATCAATTATAAATAAAAAAAAAAATATTTATAATTACAGTAAAAATTTGAAATAAGAAAAAATCAAGAAAATTTAATACAATGTCTTTATCCTCAAAAGAAAAAATATTTCTCGGTTCATTTATTCATACTAACGAATACGGAAAATTGATTGTTGTTGATCATGGAATGATACATGTTGAAAATGGGAAGGTATTTATTTAACTTATTTATCAATAAGTTTTTATTTACATTTAATTTTTAATTTTATTATATTTATATTTATAGATATAAATTAAATATTATATCTAATACATAATTTACATTATATTATTTATTATATAATATATTTGTTAATATTTAGATTACTAATATAATAATAAATCCGAAATTAAATGACATAAAAGATAAAAATGTGAGTGTTCTTAAAAACAACCAATTTTTAATACCAGGATTCATTGATTGTCATATTCATGCTGTTCAACTTCCTAATCTAGGAATTGGATATGATAAAAAACTTTTAGAATGGTTGGAACATTATACTTTTCCTTTAGAGAAAAAATATATAGATGAAATATTTGCTGAACAAGTATTTAATACAGTTGTAGTAAGTTTAATGTAATATTAAAGTATTAAGATTGCTATTTCATATAATTAACTATATTCTATAATTATTATTTTTTAATTAGAAACAAACTATAATAAAAGGTACAACAACAGCATGCTATTTTGCATCTTTATATTCAAGAGCATCTGTAATACTTGGACAGATAGCAATTAATATAGGTCAACGTGCTTTTATTGGGAAAATAAGTATGAATGAAAAACGTAATGATAATTATTATGAAACTACTGAAGAATCTATGAAAAATATAAATAAATTTATAGAAGATTTGATTAAATTAAATGTAAAACTTGAATATTATTTAAATTTGTATTTTAATTTCTTTTTTATGTAAATATCAGATCTTATTCATATAATTATCGTTATAGAGCCCTCTCATAAAACCAATTATAACACCAAGATTTGCTTTAAGTTGTGATATGACATTAATGAAGGAATTAGGAAATTTAGCAAAACAGAAAAATCTTCATATACAGGTATTATAAATATTAAAAAATAATATTTCTATTTGTTTAATGTTATGGATAAATAAATAATCTAGTAATAATTAATAATTATTATATATTTTTTAAATACGTTTAATTTTATTTTATATATTTTTATATATTTTATATCAATTCTTTTATATAATATAAAAAAATTTAATATAAGATAGAATATTTTAGACTCATATATCAGAAAATTTAAATGAAATACAAGAAGTAAAGAAAAAATATCCTGAATATTCTTCATATGCAGATGTGTATGATAATGCAGGACTTCTTACAGATAAGGTATGTTAAATATTTATATAATATAAAATATAAAAAGATCATAATGTCTTATCTACTTTTAGACAGTGTTAGCTCATGGAATATATCTTTCGGATGATGAAATTGCATTATTAAACGAACGTGGTGCAGCAGTTATACACTGTCCTTCGTCAAATACATGTTTAAAAAGTGGTCTTTGTGATGTTCAAAGACTAAAAAGTAAAGGAGTTAAAATTGGTCTTGGCACTGGTATATACATTACATTTACTTCATAATTTTGTCATGATGTTCATTATATTTTAATGAAATATTTTTAGATATCTCAGGTGGACAGAGTTGTAGTATCTTAGATGTAATGAAATCAGCTTTACAAGTATCAAGTCATTTATCTTTAATTAAGGATAATTATAAAGCTCTTGATTATAAAGATGTATTTCATATGGCTACTTTAGGAGGTGCAGCAGGTAATGTTTCCAGAGTTAAGAGAATTTATTATATTATTGCATTTTTATTTAATATAATATTTTTTTAGCACTTGCGATTGATAATCAGATAGGAAATTTTGAAATAGGTAAAGAATTTGATGCTCTTGTTGTGGATATAAATGTAAATGATGGACTTTTAAATACTTTTCAAAATAGTACTTTAGAAGAACAACTTCAAAAATTCATATATTCTGGTGATGATCGTAATATAGTTGAAGTATACGTAAGAGGATGTAAAGTTAAGTAAAAATAATATACATGTATAATATCTCATTTTATATATGTTTCATTGTTTATAAAAAACTATTTTAATTTATATAATAATAATGATGTAATCATAATCATTCATGTTATATATTTATATATATATTACATATCATATATATATATTATATATATTATTATTGACTATATAAAATAAATAATATCTTACTATTTCAAAACAAAATAATATAAAAATATATTATTATTAAATTAGCATGTAAATATAAACATTATAAACATATATCCTTATGTTGATTTAGAAATATTTTTATGCTTCTTGCAGCTTGATCAAATGCTTTTTCAAATCCAATACTATCATCATCCTACAATTAAAAAAATATTTAAAATATATATATATATATATATATATATATATATATATA